AAAAGCAGGTAGCCCTGATTGCCATGAGAGACGTTCACAAGGCCTTCGACAGCCTATGGCACTATGGCCTTGTGTACAAACTATCTAACCTACCAGCCCAAAACTGGACCCTCCTCAGGCTGATCATTAATTTCTTTAAGAACAGACAAGTTACTCCCAGCTTCAAGGCGAAAACGGCAGAAGCCTTCACCCCAAGACCTGGGATGAAGGCTCCCAGGAAGGAAGGTTCCAAAATTAACATCACTGGAGTCCCGCAATGGTCATGCCTGAGCCCGGTCCTCTTCAACATTTTTGTAAATGACCTGCGCCAACCGGAATACAAGGACACCATCATCGTCCAATTTGCTGACGATGTAACACATGTAATAACATCCAACCCCAGCATCCAATCATCCAAACACGCGTCTGTAACACATAAAGCGAATATAGAACTAGCCAGGACTACCAACTGGGAAAGAAAATGAAGGATCACCACTAACCTAGACAAGATCCAAATAAGCACTGTCGGCTGTATGGCCTACACAATCGAAGATAAGGGTGGGGATAAAGATCTGGGGTGGACCCATAGTCATCTCAAACTCCAACACTGTGCTCGGATACAGCTTCAGCAGGCTACTGAACTCCATACATTGGAGTACTGGTTACATTGTAACCAGTACGTCTCCCAGAAGACAGCAATGACTAAGGATTCCCTATCGGGGTGATAGGGAATCCTGTACTGGATCCCGTAGCCTCGGAGAGGCTATGGAATCCAGTAAGTTCAGTAGAACTTTGGTTTCAACCCTTTTGACCCTGTCGTAGCTCAGTCGATTAAGGCAGTGTCTGGGATGCTCCCGAACGCAGGTTCAAATCCTCATCACGGCCCTTGTGGATTTGTTCATTTGATGCATCACGTTAGTGTGATCTCGGTTTGTAACCTCTTCCAGAATTTCACCTCCCCATCCCCCCCCCCATCCTTTCCAAATATTTCGGACATCAAATTCAAATACAATTTCCAATAATGGCAAAATCCAAGTTGGTGGCAACTTCAAACACTACAGGAAATAATAATTCGACAATTTTGGTAAAAACAAATGTTTATATAGAAATCCAAAGTTAATAGAAGTCTCTGTGATATGCTCATAATATTTAGTAAAAATCTGATCGAAGGTATTGATAAAGGTCTAACAGGGAAACTTAGTCGTTATCAATAAAGTTGACCTTCAACTCGGTGTTTCTTTTGTTTGTTGTCAGTATTTTACGGTGTCTTCCAACAAAAAATAATTTTAAATACATAATAAAACACTATAACTTAGAGAGTACTTTAGAAATTGAGGTTTTTAGGCTGGTTGTCTTGAGGTTATCTTGAGATGATTTCAGGGCTTTTTAGTGTCACTGCGGCCCGGTCCTCGACCAGGCCTCCACCCCCAGGAAGCAGCCGATGACAGCTGACTAACACCCAGGTACCTATTTTACTACTAGGTAACAGGGGCATACGGTGAAAGAAACTCTACCCATTGTTTCTCGCCGGCGCCTGGGATCGAACCCAGGACCACAGGATTACAAGTCCAGCGTGTTGTCCGCTAGGCCGACCGGCTCCCCTAATTATAATTAAAGGTATTGATTATTTTTAATTATAGACTGATGAAAACAAGATTATATTTACAAGTTAGTAGATAACATGATAAATATAATTAGCGAATGTATAAAATATTACTAATACCAGAAAATTAAAAAAAAAATTATATTAGTTTGTATAATGTTATATATAAAGAAATAGTTTCAAGTGTAAATAACATTGGCAGTAACAGTGCTTAGAGCAATAACAGTTACAAATCTTAAGGTCACTTATGTTCTCTTTCAGGTTATAAAAAATAAATATTGAATTATGTGTCAAAAGTTTTCCAGAATGGTCCAAAATTAACATCAAACAAAAGTGTCAACTGAAATAATGTCTATGACTATTCTATCACAGTAGCATATAATAAAGTACTTTAATATTTACTTTTATGCAAAAAAAAATGATTTTTTTCGTATTTTTTATTAGCCGATTTGCATGAAACTTATACACCTTACATAATGTATGCCTATCTGTAAAGATGCAAATTTTGGAGGAACTTGGTCGAAGTCAACTTCAACCACAGGTGGCAGAGTGTTCGATTTTATTTATTTTCAGGTAAAATAAAACTGCATTTTCTCTTTTAATTTGTTTTCAATTTACATGAAATTTACACCTTACATGTAGAGTTGACGTCTCTACCACAGTTATAAAACACTTTATTCCTAAGTTAATTTATTGATTTTATAAATATTTGCAAATATGAAATATTGGAATGTATTTTTGGGGAAACTTTGACTGCTTATATTAGTGTAACTAAACATATTTTAAATAATCCTTTTTATATAAATCCTTAATTATATGACAATATGATATATGAGTGTAATAGAAATGATGTTATTTGAAACTTGTGGTTGTAGATAATTATTAAAAATGTGTAAAATTCGTTGGAAAAAAACAAACATCCCTCCCTTTCTATTTAGGGTGCGATACTGAAACTTAGAAAATTTGCAGCTTCTTATATACAACTAGTAAAATAAGTTTGGTTGACATTAAACAACATTTCCAAATCTCATAATACGCCCCCATCTTCACTACAAATTTTCGTCATCACTGTAACCATCTTCACTACTCACTTGCTTCATCACTGTAACCATTTTCATTACACACTATCTTCATCGCTGTAACCACCATCACTACACACTATCTTCATCACTGTAACCACCTTCACTACACATTATCTTCATCGCTATAATCACCTTCACTACACACTATCTTCATCACTATAACCATCTTCACTACAAATTCTCATCACCACCATAACCACCTTCAGTACACGCTATCTTCATCACTGTAACTACCTTCACAACACACTATCTTCACCACTGTAACCACCTACACTACACATTATCTTCATCGCTATAATCACCTTCACTACACACTATCTTCATCACTATAACCATCTTCACTACACACTATCTTCATCACTATACCCATCTTCACTACTCTCTACCTTCATCACTGTAACCACTTTCACTACACATTATCTTCATCACTATAACCATCTTCACTACACATTATCTTAATCACTGTAACCATCTTCACTACACATTATCTTCATCACCATAACCATCTTCACTATACACTATCTTCATCACTGTAACCATCTTCCCTCCACACTATCTTCATCACTGTAACCATCTTCACCTCACAATCTTCATCACTGTAACCATCTTCACTTCACACTCTTTTCATCATTGTAACTATGTTACATTGTAGCCATCTTCACTATCATAATCAATGTAACTATCTTCTCTGCACACTATCCTCATCAAAGTAATCATTTCTACAACACAATTTACTAATCACTATAAGAATCATCTCTGCACACTAGCCTAACCACTGTAACTATTTTATCTTCCCACTATCCTAATCATTGTCCACAATAATCCTACATCATATATAGGATTAACAATAATCCAATTGTTCACAATAATCATTAATCACAATATCTTATCATCTTTTCCCACTATCCCAATTACTTTACCTATGATCTCTGCTAATTATTTTATCACTATACCTATCTTATCTGCCCACTATACTTACCATTGTACCTATCATCTCTGCACACTATCCTCGTCAAAGTATCCTCAAAAAGTCTTTTGACATACTCATACATGTGGGGTGGGAACCCATCAAAGTTGAATGAAATTATTTTAAAATCATCAACAATGTTTTAAATTTTGATATTGTTAAGCCCATGTTTTCCTATATTCCCATGGTCTGACGTTCACACCAACAAGCTAGTATTCCCTTGGTCTGAAGGGAATACTAACACACTAACAAGCCAGTATTCACACTAACAAGTTCACACTAACAAGCCAGTATTCCCATGGTCTGAAGTTCACACCAACAAGCTGGTATTCCCATGGTCTAAAGTTCACACCAACAGGCCAATATTCCCATGGTCTGAAGTGCACATCAACAGGCCAATATTCCCAAGGTTTGAAGATCACACCAACAGGCCAATATTCCCATGGTCTGAAGATCACACCAACAGGCCAATATTCCCATGAACTCAAATACTCACCAACAGGCCAATATGTCCATGGTCTGAAGATCACACCAACAGGCCAATTTTCCCATGGTCTGAAGTTCACCCAAAAAGGCCAATATTCCCATGGTCTGAAGTTCACACCAACAGGCCAATATTCCCATTGTCTGAAGATCACACCAACAGGCCAATATTCCATGGTCTGAAGTAGACACCAACAGGCCAATTTTCCCATGGTCTGAAGTTCACCCAAAAAGGCCAATATTCCCATGGTCTGAAGATCACACAAACAGGCCAAAATTCCTATAGTCTGAAGTTCACACCAACAGATCAGTATTCCCATGGTCTGAAGTTCACACCATGAGGTTAGTATTCCCATGGTCTGAAGTTCACACCAACTGGCCAGTATTTCCCTGGTCGGAAGTTTACACCAACTGGCCAGTATTCCCATGGTCTGAAGTTCACACCAAGAGGCCAGTATTCCCATGGTCTGAAGTTCACACCAACTGGCCAGTATTCCCATGGTCTGAAGTTTACGCCAAGAGGCCAGTAATCCCATGGTTATAAGTACACACCAACAGGCCAATATTCCCATAGTCTGAAGCTCACACCAACAGGCATGAAACTGTCATGTAGTTCAATATCATTGTCCTGTTTGTTTACACCAATCTTATAAGAGCTATTATTTTTTAATAAAAACCTTATTTTATAGAGATTACACTAGCACCATATGACTATATGCTGACGAGGAGTCACAATAACGTGGCTGAAACATGTTGATCAAACCACATACTAGAAAGTGAAGGGACGACGACGTTTCGGTCCTTCCTGAACCATTCCCAAGTCGATTGTGACAATAGACTTGAGAATGGTCCAGGACGGACCGAAACGTCGTCGTCCCTTCACTTTCTAGTGTGTGGTTTGGTCACCTATATGACTACACTGCCACCATATGTATTTATTAAGGTTACTGGAGTCACATGCCTTGAGGCGATAAACTCTGGTGATCAGAGGTTTCCCACGTTACTAACCATTAACATTTACAACATTTTTTCTGGCAAAAGATGTCTATGCTGACTTTGCGTCCCACAACAATGACACAGCCTACACGGAACCCATATATTAATTTTGCTCTCACGTTTCCTTCGATTTTGAACTGGGAACCAGGGATTCGGACAGACTTCTGAATTAGTGAAGCCTTCCGATGTACTCCTTACTGACTCAGGGTCATCCAGAAGCGGTTTACACCCAGCTGATGTGTTAAGAGGAGGGGTGTGCGGTTGAGGAGGTGAGATGGGTGGTGACTGGGGGGGGGTGAGCATGGTTTGGAATCCAGCATTTTCTTTCACACTAGTTTCAATACCTGCACTGGCTATAGGAGCATTTTGATGGTCAAGTCTAATTGAGCTTTTTCCGGTGTTGGGCTAGTTGCTGGCATAGAAGCATCATGATTGTTAGCTGAGTCTAGAGTCACATTGGAGACAGATTCCTTAAGTGAATCTGTGGTGTTGAGAAGCCCAGGCAGTTCGATTATCATTTGCTGCATTTCTGTGTTCCGGGTAGCTAGATTATTTACCTCTTCAGTGAGGCATGAGGAAGTAGCTTGCAGGACATCCACACTCTTTCGAAGCGTCATTAATTTCATCATCATCACATTAACAGTGGTATCATGGTCACAACAACCTTTCTCCAAGGCCTTAACTCGTTCACTCATATCTGATGTAGCTTGGGTGTGGTCATTACAGCGAGACTGAATAACATCCAGAGTTTCTTCATCTATATCTCTTCATCTATATCATCATAGACATGCTCAAGGACTGACTGGCGAGGCCTTGGTAGAGGCTCCAGGTACATGTCAGACTGGCGAGACTGTGGAAGAGACTCCAGGTACATGTCTGACTGGCGAGACCGTGGAAGAGGCTCCAGGTACATGTCAGACTGGCGAGGCCCTGGAAGAGGCTCCAGGTACATGTCAGACTGGCGAGGCCCTGGAAGAGGCTCCAGGTACAAGCCTGACTCTCGGTGTTCTGGGTGACTCTGTAAGAAAAGAAACTGGAGATGTATTATTCAACATCCACTTAGGTACAGATATTTAGGGATCCTTCATGTAAACCTCCTTATTTAACTGTAATGTGACATTTGTCAAGAATAAGGGTGTAAGAGTGTGTAGTGAATGTATGTTCAAGGCAATTAGTGTCAAGTATTGGCTGGACATCTATATATATTTAGAAAAAGGGTAAAGTATTTTGGTGAACTTGACCTGTCTGCAAGAGATGATGTGCAGCTTTCCAAGGCCAACTTGCAGCTTCCTGCTAGGATTCACGCCCTTCTGTATTTTAATGTTATAATTCAGCAGGAAGAGAAACGTGCATGCGCTCCACATGACGTTTATTACAATAACAACCAACAATGACGTCACCGGGTATAGGTTTAATAACACTATTTACAATGCTTATCAAGCAAAAGAACATCTGATCGAGACGTTATGTACCAAACCTATGTAGTACTTAATCCTACAAAATACCTTAATCCTAATATTCCTACCCTTTTAATTAAATTCTACCCCTACATGCTTAAGTTTATCAGGGGGTCGTATGACTTCTTGATTTTCTCCACTGGGGCTCCAGGCCTGTTACTTCTGGGGAAACTTCCTCTAAATTACTAACTGCAGAGTCCCTAGGGTTAGCTGTATCCACATTCCACTCTGTTGAACCTTGCTCTGCCTCACTGCCTCCTGTAGGAGGAAGGGAACTGTCAGGAGAAAGCGCCAAGCAATTACGACTATATAGCACTGGGAAAGGGTCAGGATAAGGATTTGGGATGGCGCCGGGGAGGGAAGGCCTATTGCACTTGTAATATTTGACCGATGTTATATTTGCGCGCTTTGCGTTCCAAATAGTTGCACAGTGCAAGAGGTAATGCAACCAATGTCTCCTGCAGGTGCTACCCCTTCATTACTAAGTCAGGTGTCACTAGTTATCCCCATTCCCACCTGAAAGGATTTCAGAGTTCCCCGTCAACCTTGGCATGAGTTAATCTGCATGTCTTTTCTAGTTAATATTCCCAAAACTCTGCACTTGCACGGTGAAATTCCTGCGGCCCAGGACTTCCATTATTTTCCCAACGACCCACAGCTTCCTCATTTCAAAGTTCCTTGCATTTACTGCATCCCCTACTTTAAACAAAACTTTCTCTCTCTTTCTCTCTCTCAGCCAACTGACTGGCCAAGCTAGTTACAGATTTGTCTTTATCTCGATCTGTCTTTACTGCTTCTATGTGCACTTTGTAGTGCCTGTTAAACAGTAATTCAGATTGATATTTATCAGTGGTAGAATGAACAGTGTTTCTTTGATTATACAAAAACCTTTAAAACCTTGTATTAATAGTATCTTCCATAAACCGCTGTTACCCTTCTTTTAAGGATGTCTCACTGCTATATCAGCCAGACCGTTTGAAGAAGGATTATTGGTTGTAGATGTTACATGTTTAATACCATTCTTAATAAACAAAATCCTCCATTCCCCAGAAACTAAATAGAGAGCATTATCTGACACCACCATGTCTGGCAATCAAAAATTACACAATGTTTTCTTGAGCAGTTCACAAGTTAAAGATGATGCTGTGGAATTATACACATGAACTTCCATTAATTTTGTATGTGAATCCACGATCACCAGGTAATATTTTTTATCCATAGCTCCAGAATAATCTATATGAAATCTAAACCAGGGTTTCCCAGTGCTTTACCAGGAAAGTACTGGGGTCTGGGGTTTCTGGTAATTTTTAAAGCAAATTTGACTATTCTTAGTAATTTTAGTAATATCCTAGCAAATGTTTGGCCACCAAGCCCAACTTCTATCTTCTAGCTTTCATAGCATTTATGCCGTTATGGCCTACATGCAGCTCATCCAAAAACTTACATCTCAGTTCCACAGGAACCACCACTCTATTCCTATTCGAGAGTAAATCCTGGTGAGTATTAAGGTCAGCCTTTACTTCTCGCATACTCTGACAATAATAAATTATCATTCCAACCATATATGACATACTTCATAAACAGATTAAATTTGGGATCTCTACTAGTTGCCTTGCTAATTGTCTGGAATGAAATATCATCGAAAAACATAGATTCCTCCAGGTTGACATATTCCACTGAAATATTGGAATTCAACTCTTCTGTAACAGGCAATCTACTTACCATTTAATGCATCAACCACTACATTATTCTTGATTGGCTTAAAATCCAAATCATACTCAAACTTTGAAAGTACCAATGCCCATCGTTGAATTGTAGCATTGGCATTAACTGGAATTTGTTTACCTCTGCAAAACAATCCTAGCAGGGGTTTATCATCTGTTCTAGCAAGAAATTTCTTACCCAATAGAAAATACCTATGTCGTTAACGGCACATACCAACGCTAAAGCTCCTGTGTCTAATTGGGAATAATTCTGTTCTGCAGGAGATAAATTCTTGTTAGCAAAATAGGCTGTTTTTGCTAACCATCTACTTCCTTTAATGACACACAGCCCACCCCTACTGGGGAAGCATCGACCTCCGGCTTTAAATAGAGATCACCAGTAAAATTAGTGAGCAATGAGAATTTACCAATTCCTGCTTAATGTTCCTGAAGGCCTTCTCCTCTCTTGCTACCCACCTAAATATAACCCCCCTTTTTCAATAATTCATACATGGGTGCTAATTTTGTTGAAATGTTCTTCCCAAACTTACGAAAATATTTTACCAGCCCTACAAAATACTGTACTTCCCCCACTAATGTTAGGGCTGGGGCGTCCACTATAGCAGCAACATTATTGTGAGAAGGAGAAAAGCCCCTACCTGAAATATAGTACCCCAGGTATTCAATGGTATTGGTCTTCAACGGTGTTTTAACCTAATTAAACTTCACTTTGTGCTCTTGCAGAAGATTCAAAACCTTTTCTAATCTAGTATCATGTAAGAATGCCAGCAAAAACACAGCCCAATAAAATTATCAAATGAAACACAACCCAACAATAAAACCAATAGACAAACAACCCAATAAAAACACCAGAAGAAATATAACTGGTAAAAAAAACAGTGACAACATAACCTGACAACAAAACCAGTAGAAAAACAACCCACCAATAAACCAGTAGAAACACAATACAATAATATACCAGTAGAAACACAATACAATAATATACCAGTAGAAACACAATACAATAATATACCAGTAGAAACACAATACAATAATATACCAGTAGAAACACAAGCCACCAATAAACCAGTAGAAACACAACCCAACAATAAACCAGTAGAAACACAATACAATAATATACCAGTAGAAACACAAGCCACCAATAAACCAGTAGAAACACAATAAAATAATATACCAGTAGAAACACAACCCACCAATATACCAGTAGAAACACAACCCACCAATAAACCAGTAGAAACACAATACAATAATATACCAGTAGAAACACAACTCACCAATATACCAGTAGAAACACAATACAATAATATACCAGTAGAAACACAAGCCACCAATAAACCAGTAGAAACACAATAAAATAATATACCAGTAGAAACACAACCCACCAATATACCAGTAGAAACACAACCCACCAATAAACCAGTAGAAACACAATACAATAATATACCAGTAGAAACACAACTCACCAATATACCAGTAGAAACACAACCCACCAATAAACCAGTAGAAACACAATACAATAATATACCAGTAGAAACACAACCCACCAATAAACCAGTAGAAACACAACCCACCAATAAACCAGTAGAAACACAACCCACCAATAAACCAGTAGAAACACAACCCACCAATAAACCAGTAGAAACACAACCCACCAATAAACCAGTAGAAACACAATACAATAATATACCAGTAGAAACACAACCCAACAATAAACCAGTAGAAACACTATACAATAATATACCAGTAGAAACACAAGCCACCAATAAACCAGTAGAAACACAACCCACCAATAAACCAGTAGAAACACAATAAAATAATATACCAGTAGAAACACAACTCACCAATATACCAGTAGAAACACAACCCACCAATAAACCAGTAGAAACACAATACAATAATATACCCGTAGAAACACAACTCACCAATAAACCAGTAGAAACACAATGCAATAATATACCAGTAGAAACACAAGCCACCAATAAACCAGTAGAAACACAAGCCACCAATAAACCAGTAGAAACACAAGCCACCAATAAACCAGTAGAAACACAATACAATAATATACCAGTAGGAACACAACCCAAAAAAAAAAAGTAGAAACATAACCCAACAATATAGCCGTGTAATAACCGTGTGTAGTAAAGGTTGTGTCAAGTAATGGTTGTTTCAAGTAATGGTTGTGTGTAATAAAGGTTGTAAGGTTGTATCAAGTAATGATCGTGTGTAGTGAAGATTTTATCAAGTAATGTAGTAGTAGTACTAGACATCCTGCAGTCTCGGGAGACTATGAAGTTGCGCTCTGGTTGTCGATGTTGAATTGTCCTTTGCAGGTCGCAAAGCCTGGGTACGTTGATTTGGAGGAGAAGCTGGTTGCCATGCAGCTGGTCCCCCCGTCAACATGGGGGGGGGGGGGCTGCTAAGATCTTCCAATGGAAAAGCAAACGCCAATATGCTTGATTCCAGCGCCATCGCAGGAGCTGCCAGAATGAGGTTGAAGTCAACAACGAACTGCCTTAGGAGCTCCAACTCCAGACTTTTCCTTTTCGGTTTTCCTTCCCCTAGATGAGCTGCCTTCTCAGACTGTCGTGTCCCATATACCCAGAGGAGCTGGTTGTAAGGTGCCAGAGGCACGAGCTCATGCACGAGGACGAGGACCTGAACTACTGATACTGCTCCTGCAGCTAACTGGTAGCCTCGTTGAGGGCCCTGTAGAACCTCTCGGAGGAGGACTGGGAGTCCTCAGGGGACAATACCACACACTACAACACACAACTCAATAATAATATTATCAACATTATTGGAATAATATAAAAAAATAATTCTAAATATAATAATTGTATTATAATAATATACAATATATTATTATAATAATGGTGATAATTATTATAATAACTATAATAATGGTGATAGCATTATTAATATATTTGAGTTGTGTGTTGTAATGGTTGTGTCAGGTTATCGTTGTGTTCAGTGAAGGTTGTGTCAAGCAATGGTTGTGTAGTAAAGGTTGTGTCTAGTAAAGATAGCATTCAGTAAAGATAAACTATAGTGAGAGGACGGTATAGAGAATTTTGTGTGTAGTAGAGAACATGTGTAATGATGTAGACAGAAAATTGTAGTGAGGATCGAGTTTAGTGATGGTGAAAACTGTCGGTGACCGCCGGGTATATCTGCTATTATGTTTGAACCAGGTAATAGGTTCAATGTGCAGATTGTAAGAAAAACCAGTAATAATGCAGATTGGAACCCTTATTACTTACATATTGGCTGCGAGGATCTTTTTTGCGACGGTTGGCAAGAGCAGTGATGATGCTGAGAATCATCACGAGCAGGAGTGCGAAGACCCCCAGAGACCACCAGGGCGTAGTGTAATCTGGTAATGTTTAAAAAAAATTATTATTCATCGTTGTACAACAGTGTCACATACAGGACAGATGAGATTGAAACAGACCAAACGACATCTGACTGTGAGATCTGTACATCCTGCCTCTAATATTAAACATCTGCACACTATAACCCCTGTAATGGTAATGCTTGAGATAGCTTTAAAGATACTAAAAAATAAAGACATGTTAGCCTGTGTAACATTTGCTCAAACTTTGAACAGGGAACATCCAAACTTTATTTTTATGTGTCTCACAGATTTTCTCCACTACAGTATATCGCTATCTGTAATAAACACCTTTGCATTTGTTCCGAATAAAAATAACTTCCAGCCACTCCCTGACGCTGAGTCGTTTCTTAGTAAGAGAAACTATCGATACTGCAACTCTCAGGGTACATTTGTTCTTTTTTGTTTCTTGATGCTTCCAAATTATTTGACAAAACTGAAAGCACCGAATATTTTAGAGAATTGCATGGCAGAAAAGTATTCATAAATTTGCGGGATATCAAAACATTTTATATCATGTATGCAAAGAAGCTGTTAAATAGAGTTATGTATTTTCTGAAAATTTCTAAGCAAAATGGAATAAAAAAAAGTGCTGGGGTTCCAACATGGCGATGGGTGGGGGAACGCCCAGCGTTTCATCGCCTGGAAATTAAGGAACTTGGAAACTTGCCGGCACCTGGGACACAATCAGGAAAAGATTGTTCCCCGTGCAGTGTGGAGGATTAAGAAGGCCCCTTCCTGGACAACAGACATCCCAATAAGGCGAACAAACGAGAGCCGGACCACCGCCATTATCGCGAGGTAAACAATTTTGTTTTCTTCTTATTTTTAAACAAAGTTAATACAGCATAAAAAACAAGCATAATCGCTACACCACACATTAACAGACACCACAACACAAAAAGAAATATAGAACACACGCAATAACACTTCATAGTAAAGCACAGAATAACAAGGAACACAGAATGACAATAACACAGATAACAAGGCCCACACAGCAACATAACATAAAAGTGAAAACAAAGAACAATAAAATATACATAGGAACACACAAAAAATCAAGCTGCACTACCCAGACGGGGCGTGCCAAAAGTGTCAGTAATGACAAAAGTGTTCAAAGAAACACAATGAAACCAAAGGTAAAAATAAACAAGTAATACGTATATACAACGTAAACTAAATGCAAGACACACGCACTATGATTCACACCACACAACAGCAGACAACACACCACAGAATCGAGAACACAGGATCAAATCATGGTAAATATAACACTGTATATATAACACTGTAAATATAACATAGTAAGTAGAACATAGTTAATATAACAAGGGAATACAACAAAGCAATACACAACACAGGACATAGAATATAGGAAACTGAATACAGCACAGGACATAGAATATAGGAAGAATACAAAGATCACACACACCAAAGGAACACACAAGAGACAAATACAGCCACACAGCACACAAACCCGACCCCCACAGACAGAGGACGGCTAGCCGCCAAACAGAGAAAACACCCAAGCACCGGATACATCAGGGAAGATACAGACATGCCACACAGCAATACCAGCACACCCATACCACACACACACACACACACACACATAACACAAACACCCGCCACACAACAAGGCAACCAAACAAACCCCAGCACACACAAGACCCCAAAGACAACATACGAGCACCCATACAACACCCCCAGACAGACATAGACTCCCAAACCCCACCCACCAGAGGAAGCCTAACCAAAGGAACACGCACAGACAGACAAACACACAACCACACCCACAGGAACCCACCACCTACACCAAAGCCGCACCCCGGACAAACTCCACTGTGAACCAAGCATCAAAAACCCTAGGAAAGGAGCGACCCAACAACCACATAGTATATGACAGATGGCCCTGCAGAAAACCCAAAATCCTCTCCACCCCATACCCCTCCATCCTGCCAACTTATAAGCAAAAAATATAGTACGCCAATAACACCTCGAGCGTGTTACGCATCCGCCTGGAGCCCCGAGGAAACGAAAAAAAACAAAAACTGCAACAAATCGACTTGTACCCCTTGACTTGTACGACGATCCCTGAACCCGTGCACAAAAATAAAAGATGTGCAACTGAGTCTCACGCTCCTCACAATGAACACAACTGTCTGAGGCGATCAAACCCAACATAAAGAGCCTCTCACGTAGCCAAGAACTCATGCAAAGATCAAAAAACCAACTCACGCGTCCGTGGAGCAATACACGGTCCTCTCAACGCCTCTCACACATTCCCCTAGTCGAAACAAGGGTACAAACCCTCGACCCTGGGAGGAACCGGAGAGACAAGCGCCCCATACACTTCCTTACAACCAAAAGAATCAAACCCCGGAAAACGACGAAACGTCCGAAGGATCAATACTGCCCACGAGTACACCGGAGGTGCACACAGGGCCACCTCCCGACAACGCCCCAGGTCAAGCAAAAAACTAAACCTCATAGAACAATAAAACAACCCTAAGGAGTTCAACCCACCCCTTGACACCAAATTCCTCCGAACTGACCCCCAAAACAGAGCCAACGCCTTCAACGTTGAGCGTTGAATTCAACGCTCAACGTTGAAGGCGTTGAAGACAAAAGCGAACGACCTCCAAAAAATCGGCACCAAGCACATCTCAAAACTCAATATAGAATTCCACTGGAAACCCATCCGACTCCGGAACCTTACCACGACGAAAGGACTGCACAACCCCCCAAAGTTCCAAAGGGCCAACCTCCTGCACAAGACCAACATCTCCGACAACCCGGGTGCACAGTGTTGGAGGACCCCATCAACCCCTCATCCATCGCAACCGCCCCATACAAAGACTCTAATTCGCTGTGCACATAATGCAACACCCCCCCCCCCCCCTTCCTGTATCCGACAAAACCAAACCGTCCGGCCGCCGAAGACCTGCCAACAAGACAGAGGCACGACCCACCCGTTCCCTCCGCAGTAAAAACTGTGAGAGCTTCTCACCACATAACCGTTCCTCCACCCCAGCCCGCACACGTCCCCCCCCCCCCCCTCAGCCCAAAAATCAGATTCTTACACACCGCAATCTCCCGAAACCTACCTAAACCCTGATTGAGCAACCCATACAGGAGAAACAATCGCGCCTGCAAGACCCACAACAAACCAAACCTCCCCTCCGCCTCCCGCTTCGCCAACACCCGAAAAAAACGACTGACATTCCACCTTGCTCCACTCCCACCACTCCAGAACCGAGGGAAACGCCCCCTTCCAGGCGGCCAAAACGACCCACCGGGCCCAGAACTGGGCACATACAACCGGGCACTTCAGCCACCCATAATTCAGCTTCCACCAGCCACGACCAACCCGTACCTGGCTGCAAATCCCCACCTGCAACACCACCATGCAATGGTCTGAGAACCCCACCGGAACCATCCGAAACCAAAAAACCGACCCACCCCTAGTATGCACGTAAAAACGATCAAGGCGAGAGCAAACCCCACGCGAGACAAAGGTGTACTCCAAAGGATCCCCTTGTAACACGGCCACATTCTGAAACCCGCAACTCTTCAAGGAGTCAAAGCCAGCGAGATATTTGCTAGACGAAGACTATTGCTATCCCACGCCGACGTAATACAATTAAAATCTCTTCCAAAAATCCTCTCCCTCATTTCGTGCCAGAAAAAAATGCAGCACGTCACGGGAAAAGAAAAACTCCAAGTCCTGCCTCTGAGCCACCACAGACGGCACGTACACGTTCAAGAGAGAGACCTCAGACCCCCAAAAAAGACCCGAACCAACAACAACCGACCACCCTTGTCCATCTCCGTGAGAAGCACGGAAATCGGGGCCCGCTTAGAAAACAGGATCAATGTACCTCCACGCAAACCACGCGAAGGGTTTAAACACCACCGTAAACCCTTCAGCCAACACATGTAACAACCCCACCTCCGGCACATTGTGCTCCTGCACTAAAGCCACATCAACCCTCCACTCACGCAGCATCGTCACCAGTCCCAATTACGCAGCCACAGAACGCAAACCATTCACATTCAGTGAAGCACACGTTAATTTAGGATCCATTGGGAAAACATAAAAACCCTATCTAACCACAAAGCTGTCAGACCGGTCCGGCCGACATCCCGCGCAGGGAAGCGGCAGCAATCACCACTGGGACCCCAGGCGACGGAGACGCACTCCTCACAGGGGTTGGGGGGGGGAACGCCAGAGTCCTTTTTTTAACTTCAACACAAGGCTGCGATCATCACCGCCACAGTCCCTTTGACCCACCACCTTCCACTCGGGGCTCTGTACCCCAGGCGACCACAACGGAGACTGGTAGCCTGGTAGATAGCGTGCAGGACTTGTAATTCTGTGGCGCGGGTTCGATTCCCACACCAAGCAGAAACAAATGGGCAATGTTTCTTTCACCCTGAATGCCCATGTTACCTAGCAGTAAATAGGTACCTGGGAGTTAGTCAACTGTCACGGGCTGCTTCCTGGGGTTGTTGAAAGTTTGTTTTCACCTCATCCACCTCACCCAAATGTAGATATAAACCCGAAGATGTGTAAAGCTCTATTCAGTTTCAGTTGTGTGTTTGTAAACTAAAGTCTTTGAAAATGTAATAAGTTTTACGAAACGCGCTCAAGTGTCACGTCAGACTAGAAATAAAAATGAATTTTGGAGAATTGATCTTTGAATTACCATCAAAAAAGAAACGTAAGAAAGATAGAGAAATTTCGTGTTAGAATTATTAATCTTACTTTTTCGGTCATATTTAATAATATATATATATATATATATATATATATATATATATATATATATATATATATATATATATATATATATATATATATATATGTCGTACCTAGTAGCCAGAACGCACTTCTCAGCCTACTATGCAAGGCCTGATTTGCCTAATAAGCCAAGTTTTCCTGAATTAATATATTTTCACTAATTTTTTTCTTATGAAAT